AAATATGACATGGAGATTGAATAAATAAAAAAATATGATAATGGATGCAAAACTTCAAAGAAATAACCACAGTATAACAATGGAAAAATTATTGGAAAAATGATAAATACTTCAAGTTATAATTAAAGGGAAATTGCTACAAGATGTTTTACAGGTGGCATATAACTCTGTCAGTAATTACCAAGATAGACAAACTATACAACAATGAATGATGGAAATGCCATAACAAAGAAGGAATATTTTATTATATATGGTGATGTGTAAAAAAATTCAGAAGTACTGGAAAGAAATACATCAAAATAATCAGAAAATCCTAAAAATAAAATCTGAACTAAAACCACAAACATTTCATGAGGTATAATCCCAGAAAACATAAATGAAAAATATCACTCAGATATATGCTGACAGCTGCAAGAACAAATCTGGCACAGCACTGGAAAACAGAAGTCTTGCTGGAGGTATCTGACTGGGAGAGCGATTATAAAACAATAGATGAAAGAATTTAAACAGATACTAGCAGTAATCTTTAATGTTCAATGTAAAGTATACATATCTAGATTATGAACAGTGGTTGGGAAACAAATGGAAGAAAAGAGGAGAATGTGTTACTAGAAAAATTTGCCATAATGTTTTTATTTATGCTTAGTAGCTGTTTTTCTGCGTTATTCAATTGTTACTATCTAATGTAGACTTCTTTCCTTTGCATTTCATTTTTCTAACAATAAACAAGATCTTTTAAAAATCGTTAATGCAACAATTCCACTTTCTGTCAGCAGCCCTAAAATTCTCATTTTAATCCAGAGATTTTAGGAAACTGTAAGCAGCTAGCAAACCTTCTGTCTCCTCAAAAATCTCAGTATAAATGCAGATAAATGTTACATTATTTAGCTGATGGCCCTGGTTATCTGTAAACTACCACCTCACCTCAAGCAAGAAATCTACAAAAAGATTAGAAGGAAAACATATTCTTCCCTTAGTCTCTAAGTGAGGAATGGTCATAGCTCCCAAGGAGAATAAGTGTAATTACATTTAAAAAAATCTTAGGATCATTCTCTAGGAACTCAAGGTATGGCTGGTAATGACCTGGAGAACCAGCTTTAGCCAAGATTGACTCATATGCTTGGTAAGGTTCATAGCAGCTTCCCATGTTATTACATATTTACTCCTTTGAGAGCAGTATAACCATACCGGATTAATTTGTCTGCATACGATAGAGTGGTCTAGGATATGATAAAATAGACTAGAGTGCAAGGTGCAATAGAAGGAATAATGATAAATGAATACATTCAGGGAAAATAACAGAACAGTTACAAACATTAAATGTGTAGCTTTAAAAAATCAAGTTAAAGTCTTGATTTTAGGCTATCCTAAAAATAAAACAAGAACATATTTCGGCTGTTTCTATTCACTTAAGCGATGCTCTGAAAAAGGAACTGTTCTCAAACTGAATTAGAACACAAACAGCGGTGACCATAACAGGCCACTTTGAGGCCAGATTGACAATATGTGTTTCATGACATCATCGTGCAAATGATGCAATCATATCTGATGCAAGTCAGTCAGTCGCATCATTTGCATGATGATGTCATGATGCCCATAGCATCATTTGGTCCCCTGTTGCCCCTGAACACCCTCTAGCTCAGTATTATAGATACTGGCTAGGAGACAATGTCTTCTGGGAGATTTTGCTTTTGTGGAGCATGCTCTATCCACTGTATCAGACACACATATCATTTTTAGTGCAATCATCCTCTTAGTTTTACTTGGATAATGGCATATTTGTTTCAGTGAATCAGATTCTAGGTGGCCACAACACTTCTTGAACTATATTTGATTTTTCAACTTACCTTCATGCCAAAAGTGAATATGGTAATTATGATTTTAAAAACAAGAGCCAGGGCTAGCTGCCACATAGCCATATATACTCCTGTACCAGCTGGTCTGTCGGGAATATCATCCACAGGTCTAGTCATGTTGGGATCATTTATGTAGTCACAGAGCTGTGATGACTCCAACGCTCCACAGTCATTGAACAGTTCGGAGATGAGCTCACTGGTGCTCCTTCGTGTATACGGATTGGGGTAGGCAATAATGGCGGTTATTGCGGTTACTGCAATGACCTCTAAGACTGGATACTTTCCAAGCCTAGTAGTTTTACGCCTTCTGCACCATGCAATGTTGCATCGAATGAAAAGTGTCCCCCACAATCCCCCAAAAACTCCAAGCAAGATGAAGGGGAAAAGTTCAGCCATGTACCAAGGTGTGTGATACTCCACATAAAAGAGGACGAGGCGGCTGTTTCCAAATGGATTGATGGATCTCAGGGTAAAGGCTGCCACGAGTGCAGCAAAGAAGGATCTCCAGAGAGTCTTCAAGGGAAAATAATAACTCACCTAGGAGAAAATGGAAGCAATCAATAATTATCTCCAATTTTTTCAAAGGTTTTTCCTTTTCAGATATTCATGGAAATGATATATTATCATGCATTTATAAAGATGCAATCCAAGGAGAGGATTGCAAAATATTAAAAGGAATGAAAGATTATACTATCTTAACTTTGCCTATATTATGTAGAGTTACACAAGCATGTTGCAGAGATAATGTAGCCACTTCCATATTTTCAGGTGATACTAGGATCCCACAACCATTGTTATCGAAGATCCCTAATGCATAAATGCACCACAATACTCAGTCAGCTTTGTAAAATTCTACAGAAACACAGTATCCATTTTGTGAATTAGAGGATGTGGGGAAAGGCTTACAGAAAATTATATGCTTATATTTCATCATATAATTTTATATAATTGTTTATGTCTCGCAGTTTTTATTAGTAGCCACATAAAGGTTGGCCTGATACCACTTGAAATTGATGTGCACTTTCATAGGAAGGTCATCTTAGCATATGGTTCATGGACTGCAAATTACAATTAGCTCTATTCCTTATCATCATCATCATTTTCCATCTAGCTTGCTGACTTCTTGTAAACTACTAGGTTTGGATAATGTTCCTAGTAAAACAAGAAGTAAAACAGGAACAAATTTGTTCCTCTGCACAAGTTCAAATTTGAGTTCTCAGAGCACTCTTTTTGTTTTAGTAATCTCTTTAAAAAAGTAGGTGAAACATCGGTGAAAACTGTCTCCTCATGCTGAAGATAACAGCTTGAGGCTCAGAATAATGGTTTGCCTAAAGGCAACTAATAAGCGGTGGCTACAGTGATACAAAACTAAAATTTCTGGTTTATAGCTTATCCTCTTAGCCAAAATGTCATCCTAGTAAAATTGTACAGTCCTAGTTATTCATTATTTAGTGTCACAAAAAAGACTGGTATGTGGAAAATAGTTATCTGGATGTATCTGCAACATTCAGAGCTAGCACTGTGAGGAAGTTGCTGAAGTACTGAAGTGAAACCAGCATGTTCCAATATCAACCCTCCAGTCAGTAACACAGTTTCCTCGGTCACTTTGCTCATCCACAATGTCTGGGCCCAACCCCTCTTGCTAGTTTGTTTTAAAGATCAGATGAAGGGAAAGTGCATCTGCATGCACATTTAATAAAATAACTGAATATTAAATGAAATATGTGACAAATTGTTGCCTTTCCAAGATACCATGTACCTACTGTGCAGCCACTTCTGCCTAGCAGTACAGCTGGCTCCCTCCACCCCCACCAATTTATAGTACTATCTTATGGTGCTATATTCCAAAAGGGATTTAATATTCTATCTGTAGCAGGTTATCCTTCCTTAACAACACTGTTGCTATGCTACTGGTTTCTACGGTACCAAGACTGGATGTTTTGCATACATCTTAAGGTATTTCATTTTGTTCTTTATATACCCTTGTAAATGACTTGATCCTCCAGGACAGACAAAGACTTGTTTTAAATAAATAAGCAAGCAACTGTATTAATAGTATACCTTCCTGCAAAGAAGGGCTCAAGGAAATCAGAAATATTACAACTGAGGAATACAGGTAGTCCTCATTTAGCGACTGCCGTGTTTAGCAACCATTCACGGTTACGATGGTGATGAAAAAGTAACTTTACAACCAATCCATTTACGACCTTTGCAGGTCTGTAAAACAAATGAAGGCTGAAGTAAGATCATAAGCACTGTCACAGTTTCATTTAGGGACTGCTTCACTTAACAACCAAATTGCTGGTCCCCATTGTGGTCACTAAACAAGGACTACCTGTCTATTCAGACTGCAGATAAAAGAGAAAAACTGCTTCTGGAAAGCCTTACTTCATAATAATTCCTATCAAAAGCTTCCTCAGTATCTAAAACTAGATTCAAAGGAAGGAGATATAGTCTACTTTTAGGGATGTTTTCAACTGTTGTAAGGCCTTGCAAGCATAAGAGCAGCAGTACCAAAATATTTTATTTAGCCTCTAGTCACCAGGAAAGAGCTCAGCTCAGAGATGTCTACCTATTTCCCTTCTTTCTGTAATGACTTCTCTCCCCTGAGCACCGACTGCCACCTACTGTATAAAGTGAAACAATGCAGGAACAGCAATACCAATAAAATACGCCATGCGTATTTGCTTTCAACTTATGACCACATTAAAAATACTTCTTACCTCTTCTAAACTAAAAAGGACACCCCCAATGGGTGCACCAAAGGCCACAGAGACACCAGCAGCAGCCGCAGCTGACAGCACCTGGCATGGAAACATTGATCCACAAGTTAGGAGTCTGTGGAAAATATTCATGGAATCTTAGGCGAAGTGAGGTGAATGGAGGAAATTGGGAAACTAGCACTACCTCTCTCCTTTTTCCTTCATTCTTGCTGTACTTGGAGAAGAGGCTGCTAAAACAGTTGCCACAGCAGCAGGCTACATGCACGAGCGGCCCTTCTTTGCCAAGGCTGAGTCCTGAGGATACCACCAGAACTAAAGTTACAGTTTTGATTAAGAGCGTCCACTTGCCTAGATATCCCCGAATAATGAATCCACTCAAGATGGTCTTTATCTGGAAGAAAAGAGAAAGAAGAACAAAAGTTGACTGGCCAGATTTTTGTGAAACCACTAAGAAGTCTAGACAGGTCAGCAATTATTTTGCCTTTTCAAGATATCTGAATATTCCATGCTGAAAAACACAAATCAGGTGGCCACCTTTAACGTCAACATTTCCCTTTCCTTTTTCTAGCCCAATCTCCTTTAACAAGGACTTCAGACTGAATCTGCCTGAAGCATTGCAATGTAGAAAATTACCCCCCGCCCGCTTCCAGTGTGAAAGTACATACCAATCCAGCAAGGGGACATTACCTCTGGAATTCCAGATCCACAGGCATAGGGAGCAAAAACCCTGACCAGGGAGACAGCCAGGAACGCAAACAACAACGCCCACAAAATGTATAGGAAGTAATTTAGAATGTAAGCACTCGCACCCTAAGAAAGGGGAAAGAAACAGGAACAAATCACTGTTGTCAGTCCAAAAAGGGGCATGTTTCTGGTGGCCATATATAAGCAAGGGAGGGTATGAGGCAGGATCTCTCCATCAACTGAGTTGTAACATTTGTACAGCATCTTTTATATATTCTGCTTATTAAACCACAGAAATATCTTCTTCTAAGTTTGCAACCTGATGCATATTTACTTGAAAATAAGTCCCTTTGAAGTCAGAGAACTTACTCCCAAGTAAACAGCTACAGTTTTGGGCTGCATGTCTTCAACGTGGGACATCAATAAGGCAATTTATATGGGAAATGCTAAAATGATTTCAAAGGCTAACACACATTTCCAAATGCATTGCAAAGAATATTGATCACTGGGGCCTGGAGCACTGCAGAAATAATATAGCTATAAGCTAGGAGGACAGGGCAAGTTAAAGCAGTTTTAAATGAGCTGGGAGTAAAAGCTGAAATATCCCATTTAGGCTCCTTCATTTAAAACCACTTTCGCTTGTTCTTTTAAGTTGTGTGCCCTGGTGAAGTTAGAGAGCAAAAGTTAAGGTCTAGACAAAAAGAAGGGAGGAAAAAAATTAAGGCTGTAAATTCATAGACTGGTGAGCTGTTTTAAATAAGTATAGTCCATTGCTCAACATATATAATGCTTTTTGAACATTTAATAAGATACTTTTGGGGCATTGAAAGGAATGACATTTCACATGGGCACAAGAAATTTTGAATTTTATGACAGAAAGTCTGGACAAATAATAAAAAAAAATGTTACTGTAACAAATTTAGATTTCCCACTTATTCTCTCACCTATTGCACAGAATGATGAATGTCTGGAGACTCTTCTATTAATTTTGACATCTGGCTTTGCTTATTCAAGCCCAAAAGATAGATGAATGGCATCTATTTTGATAGTTTGATTCCCTGAGTAATTCTTATTGCTACAGCTGTCTTTGCCTAGTTTTAAATAAGAGACAGCTATGACAATAATCTTTATTCCATCACAGGATGGACTTTGTTTGAAAATTAGTGTCCATAACAATGTGATCTGAGAATAGCTTCAACACACATTCTTTTCTCTGTAAATAAATGCACGGGGATGCAGCCAATGAACATTTCTCTCAATTTTACCACATATAAATTAAGATTTCATCCAAAAGAGCATATAAGCAACATTTTGGACTTACGGCTATCTTGAGACAGTGATGACATAATTGTGTTCTTGTATTCAAACTGTTAGAAAAAGAAGGAGAGCTAGCAGAATGGCATGGCCAAGACATTAAGGCATGTGCAAAGGGCCTTCTTGGTGAGCAGTGAGTGAGCAAAGGGGGAAGGGGGGGTGCTAGTGCATGAGAGAGAAGGAAGAACGAGGGCACTGATGTGTGCAATCGAGCGAAGGGGGAATAAGGGCGTTGGTGCATTTAAGCGAGCAAAAGAGAAAGGAGGATATGGCACATGCAAGTGAAGAAAGGCTGGGGTGGGTGGAGGAGACTTATCTGAGCAATTTGCGACCTCCCCTGCTAGCTTCCCCAATGACTTTGCTTGTGGAAGCCAGCAGGGAAAGTTGCAAAGGGAATCACGTGATCGTGGGGTGCTTGGCAACCAGTCGTAAGTGTGAACAGGTTGTAAAGTGCCCAGATCATGATCATGTGACCGCGGGGGTGCTGTACTGGCCGTAACTTTGGGGACGAGTTGTAAGTCAATTTTTTCAGCACCATTGTAACTTCAAATGGATGCTGAACAAATGGTCATAAGTTGAAGATTACCTGTAAATTTATGTAGGTATACATGTATTCCTCTTACAAAACACCATTAGTTAACACTGAGGCAACTATCTAAACAAACTACTATAAAATTAAAAATAGACTTAAAATTAATGATAGATAGATGATAGATAGATGGATGGATGGATGGATGGATGGATGGATGGATGGATGGATGGATGAATGGATGGATGATAAAACCATTAAAATCAGTGGTATAATTCTTGTTTAATGCCTAAATAAGAAGCAATATTAAAGCCACCACATCTGGGCTGCAAACCTCCAGAAGATTACTAGAGAATTACTGTATTTCTTTGCTGCCATCTAGGAATGGTCTAGATCAGGGTTCCTCAATCTTGGCAACTTTAAAACGGATGGACTGGGGAATTCTGGGAGTTGAACTCCACCCGTCTTAAAGTTGCCAAGGTTGAGGAAACCTGGTCTAGATTTCTGCAGCCCAGATATGATGGCCCCAAGCAATATGGGTGCATTAGTCCTCTGTGAAGCTTAATGCTTATATTTCTTCTCTTAAAATCCACTGGGGAGGTTTTAAGGATAAACAGGAAGGGAAAATAACATCCATACCTCTTGGAGGAAGAACAAGCTGTCATATACAAAAATAAATATGTATGTAATACAGTTATTTGGATTTCAAGCGAAAGTTGGTATATTTCTCAACTCATTTTCTCTAATCTTTCCTACATATTTCAGAAATGTTGCAAACCCTGTTTTCTTTTGAACATGTAGTCAAACGAGAGCTTTTTGTGCATTCTTCTGTAAACATTTCTGAAATTACACACACAGCTCTTTTCAGTTAGTGTAACACATTTTTATGACAGTGCCATGTTAAAACATTAAACAAATACTGAGAAAATTACAGGAAAATTATAACCATACCTCAGACTGGTTAACTAGAAGTTCAGACCATTTTTGCCACTGAAGACATTTGTCCCTGTCCTCAAAAGTAGTTTCATTGGATGTCCAGCAACATTGCTCATGACTATACCAAAAGGCTGCTAAACAGACTCCTTCTTTCAAATCAGTCATCCAGTCCACTGCTAAATCTATAACTCCAGCTAGTGTGCCTAACAGGGAGAGAAACCGATGTTAAAGAAGGACCCAAACTATAGATCCTGAGAAATAAGTCAGATTTTCCATGTGGTCTTGCAGAAGTATCTCTTGAGTATTGAGATTGATTGATTGATTGATTGATTGATTGATTCTATTTATATAGCCGCCCATCTCACATAAAAGTGGCTCTGGGTGGTGTGAATATGAGTTGGATCCATACTTAGCTCCATATTGAGTCACCCCACAGTCACCAAAGTAAGAGATTAGGAGGACTGTCTCAGGAAGTTTTCAAGAGCATTTATCACACATATTAGCAACCACAACAGTGGGTGAAGGAAATCTGGCCAAACAAAAGGTGATTATTATTCCCTTGTCTCTTTCTATAACCTTTACTATGCAATGTAGTGTTTCTCTTAAAATACCAACTGCTTTTCTTGGCTCACTTCTAAGAACTTCTAAATAACAGGTGCCCTCATCACCCACACACAATTATTAGTCTAGACAAGAATAAGTTTAAAAAACAAGCAAATATATTCTTGTCTAGACCATTCCATGAGCAAGTGAAATTGATGAGGTCAAACTTGGATTTGGGATTATTGACCAGATTTCACAGTAGGATAAGGCCACCAGATGAACAAGTAAGCAATGTGCATGCCTGCTAGTTTCAATACACAGACCTAAAAACAGACAATGGTTCAATAAAAAATACTATCAACAGACAGTATGAAATATTTATAATTGGTTTATATTGTAATATAAATACATATACTTTTTTATGTCTCCCATTTTGTTTATCATCGTCATATTTTCTCTTTTCATTCCACATAGTTGGCAGGTTTTTTTAAAAAAATAACAGTGCAACAGTGACACCAAGCGGTATTTGATGGCAAGAAATACCGAAACAGCATTTTTAGTGATCCCTTTATAAGAGCTCTTCCTGAATAGAAGTCATATTGCTTCATGAACATGACTCCAGTTACATATTTCAATCAGTCTAACGCTAGAAGAACATTTGTTGTTTATTCGTAACAAGCCAAAAATGTACAGAGTTATTAGCTGTGTTCGATTTATAATTGCAGTGATTGCTTTTTAGTTCCACAATTCTAATCATTTCTTAGAACTTTAACCACTGCTTTTAATGGTGAAGCCAATGTGTTTGGATATAATAAGCCACAACACAATCTAAACTAGCTGCTTAGTTAATTTTTTTAGTTACTACAATATCTCTTACCTTTATAAGGATTTGCAAAAAATTATCAATTAACCAGGAAATCGTTGCTGTTAATAGTAGGAGTAGCACTAGTTCTATTTGGGACTAAAATAATGTTTGAAATTCCATATCACAATTGTTATTCCCTATTTCAAATTAAAACATTATTATTTCCTTTGCTGCTACTGTCAAGGTTCTACGGATATATCTACCATTTCACATATCCCCAAACAAAAATATTATGTATAGAAATGCTGAAACAGAAGCTATCACATTTCTATAGCCAGCATAAACAGCTGTCTCCACAGAGCACAACTTTTAATAAGCAAACATGAGTTCACATTTGTTTGAAATTACCTGCCAGCAGTCCTATAAGAAGCATCACAACCCACCCCGACCAGGCATCCAATAAACTTTTGATGAATTCCCATAGAGATTCCTTGCTTTTATTTGTAATCTGGAAAAAAAAAGTTGACATTCAATTGAAAAATCTGCAATGTTTATATTTCATGAAGGATAGTACCACATATCCAAATCTATAACATAACCTAATCACCTAACATAAATATGCAAGATATAAAATAGAGCTGGAAGATGCGATTTGCAAAGGATATGAGCATGTCCAAAGCATATTCCATCAAAGTGTTAAAGCAACCTATCAGGGCAAGGAATCTTTCCCAATTCTCCAGATTTAATTGTAGTAACAATTTATTGAAAAGAAAAAGTTAAATTAAGATTAATCCTTTCCTGCAGTAAGTGTGGCAGACTGACTTTTTGGGGAAAAAATTATCCATATAAAATCTATATTTCTAATAAATATAACTATACAGTTTAGAATAAAATTAAAAATCTGTTGAGTAATCAATCTGGAATCCTATTTAAAACACAGAGGAGACAATATTACATTTATTTTTAAAGTCGCAAGGCTAATGATTTACTGGAGTTCTTTCCCTTTTCTCAATATCTTTGTCTTTTTTTTTTTTTTTTAATCCGCACTCAATCGTTACCAATTCTGTGGCGACTGCCTGGACGAGTCCCTGCAGTTTTAAGGCAAGGTGTTTTGGAAGTGGTTTGCCAGAGCCTCCTTCCTAGAGCAGAGCCCAGCTGGCGAGCGCAGGAGGCAGGGTTTCCGTTGCTTCGCGCCGTTTTCAGCCGTGCACGGCTTCCGCATTACTGGCAACTGCTCCCATCTCCCATGCAAGCGTCGCCAGCATTTTTCCTCCCACCGGGGTGAGAGTCCCCATTTATCTACTCACGTAAGTTTTT